AGAGTGTGAAGAGGCGACCCCCCTTTTGTTTGAGCGCTGCCATTCAGGACTTAACTACACTCAGAAGAATATGTGCCAGGCACACAAATGCACATCTCCTGTGAAGGGAGTTCTTCTAGTGCAGCGCCTCAACAGGGGGTGATTTAGTCCTCCAGGAGACATTAAGAAATGTCTGGAGGCATTTTTGGCTATCACAGTTGGAGGGGTGGGGGTGCCTGGCATGCAGTAGGTAAGACCAAGGATGCTGCTGAACACCCTACAAAGCACAGTACCACAGGACAGCCCCACAACAAAATCACTTTTGCCACATGTCAAATGTTGAGATTGGGACCTTTGGTCTAGAGCAGTGGGGGTCACACAGAGATACCTGGGGACACAGAACAGGAGCAGGAGCTAGAGAAGGGAGCAGCTCAAGGAAGACCCGCTTCCCCACGCCCCAGGGCCGTAAGCTGATCTGCAGCTGATTATCCTCTTTGCAGTGCCTCCTTTCCCGTGCACCTGGCTCTAAGCACATGATGGGGAGGCACTGCGGAGAGCGGACTGAGACGTGGCAATTAAGGCAGGGAATTCTATTTCCTACATACTAATTACATATGGATTTCAAAAAAGATTTTTAAGTACTCCTGCTCTTAGTCTTTGGGTTTCACTGCAGTTCAGCTTAGGGTTGTATGGAAGAAAGTTGGGAAGAGAATCAGGGAAAATGAGGGGTGGGAGGCCCAGTGAGATCCGCGAACTCAGAACTGAGCCTGTGGACGGTGACTTTTGGTCTTTTGCGGGCGTGGGTCAAGGACTCTCTGAGGCCACAACCATCATGCTGGTCTCCCCAGAAAACACACATCCTAACAAAGCAACTTTCACTGTCCTCCTCTCACTGACGTTTAAACTCCTGCTACAGAGACAGTGAACAGAAAGTGAAAAAAATTTTTTTGAAAAGATATTTTACATAAAAATATTACTTAATGTTAACATTTAATGGGTGTGATATTACTAAATATTTTTTAAATTTCAGTTTTAATTTCTAAAAAAGTACTCCGCCACCTAGCACCTATGTGACCTGAGGCAGTTCTCAGCCTCCCTAGCTCTAGAACATCAGGGGGTGGTAGCAGTCAGACGTAAAGGGACAGCTTATAAAAAGAAAGAAGTTATTACTAAAGGTAGAAGGTGTCAAAATAAGCCAGCAAGTTGTAGAAAGGATTGTTCAGCTTTATTTTCTGCAATAGGTATTCTGTAAGAGTTGCTGTACAGACTTTCAAACAAAACTAAGCTGAAGCAGGATACGTAAAATACACAGAGAGCAATACTCAAACAGCCTTTAACGTGCTTCAAACAAATCACTTCACAAAAAGCACTAACTTTTTTTTTGTCCACTGGCCATTACCTATGAACAAAAAAACTTAGGTATTTGTGAACACTTTTAAAAATGTAATTCTGGACACAGTACACAAATTAAAAAAAACACAGCACGAAAGCACTAACTTTTTTTTTGTCCACTGGCCATTACCTATGAACAAAAAAACTTAGGTACTTGTGAACACTTTTAAAAATGTAATTCTGGACACAGTACACAAATTAAAAAAAACACAGCACCATCCTATGATCTGCTCCTACAAAATGGACTTTAGGATTTTCAGAGCAATTTATCAAGATCCTAAATATTCATGAATATGCCTAGTCATGTTTCCACAAATCTGAATGTTACACTGACAACAGCTGCTCAAAAATGAGTTCCCTCTGTCAATCTCAGGATTTTCTAACTTCAAGTGTCCAATGATCCCATTTGTGATCTTATTCCTTAAAGGTGTGCTATGAAATAAACCAGCAGTAAGAACTTGGCAGAGACCTTTATTTCCAGGACACATGTGGATAATCAAGACAAATTTAAACATTTTATTTCAAAGAGAACAAAAGAAAAATATACTAATATATGTCATTCAAGAGTAGAAATTTCTAGAATAAGCCAAAAGTTGCGCAGCAGCAGTTATAACAGTACTTTGTTACACTGAAAGATATACCCTGCCATACATCTTGCAGGGAAAATTTCTATCAAGAAGGGTAGTGCATAATCTGTTCTGTAAAGCTAAAAATGGCCAAATCTTAAACTCTCATCAAGTCATTTTAGAGATGAGGAAACAAGGTCAAACAATTTAAGTGACATCATTTATGGCAAAACAAGAATCAGCATTTTTATTTTCAAATTCTCAGATCAAAATATTTTCTACTCTACCACTCTATCATTTACTCCAGGACTTCATCTTCCTTACTAAAAATCCCACGCCATCAAACGTTTCCTTGTTCTAACCAAAAAGTGTTCTGCCACTTGCTGCCTTGTTTGCTGTGGGGCTAGATGACAGCCAGCCAGGATTTTATCATAAAGACCTCTCACACACTTGAAGTAGTGTGTTCAGTCAACACAGGCAAAGTTCTTGAATGTTTTCTCTGTTGGGATTATTTCCCACGCCTGGCTACTCTGCCCTGGATGGGTACCTGCTCTGCACGTTTCTCCAGGCTGTGAAGCCCGAGCCTGGTAACCGTCCTACCACAGGTGAGTTCTCAGGGTAATGTGAACAGATGCTGATGGGGGAGGTGACATGATACTAAAAAGGCTTAAAAAGAAGCATGGGAATAGCAAACCTATTTAAATTGTTCAGGTTAAAATATTCAAGTTAAGAGTAATACTGAGAGACAGGAGAGGAAAAAAGTATGCAATAATGGTTTAATTCACTTGTGTGAGTCAATCATATTTGGTAAGTGGGTGGAACTAGAAGAGAAGCAGCCAGCTGAAGACTCAGGGGGGAGAAAAACAATAACAAAAAAGGAAGGGTCAACTCAAAGTTCAGACGAACTGAAGTGCCTCAATTTGTATTCCTGCAAAATAGTTTACACAGTTATCTGCCAAGTGCCATGCTTAATATGCCATGTTGCCTCTGGTATCCTTATGAGGAAGGAGTGAAGGGCCCAAAATTTCAGTATTTTTCAGTGGTAATTTCAAGCTCTGTGGCTCCAGCTTAGACAGTAGCACTAGAAAAAAATACAAAAAGACAGTGGGGCATCACACTCAGACACTGCAGGCCACACCTCTAGAGTCTTATGCAACTGATGGCCTAAGAACTCAGTCCACCTTAAAAACACGCATTTTTCATAGCAGTGGTTTTGGTATCTTTGAATTACTGATGGAATTTTCAGGTTCAAACTTGACATGATGCATCCTTATAGCCAGGTTCTTCTACTAAAATAGGAATAAATGAAACACACACATTGATATTCCTTTGTGACCCTAATAGTAAGAAGACACAGGCATGCTAGCAAGAAAGGTTTGGGGAACAGTAGGAAATCTTAGCAGTTTTAATGACAGATCAAAAAGAGCATTCAGCATACACCCCCGTAGAGCAACTAAACTTCATCTAAAGCAATTTAATACAAAGCAAGTTAAATCCAAGCACACCACAGTAAAACTTGATTGTCTGCTGTAAAGAAAGGGTAAGGAAAGACTGTGGCCCAAAGGATCCCAACTATTGATATGTAAGAAACCTTTTGGATTTCTGCTTTTTGCTTTGGGGAGGGCAACCAATTTGCTAGAATAAACCACCAGCTCAAGGGAAGGGAGGCTTAGATAGAACAAATGATAGGGAAAAGATAACCTGAGGCTAAAAAAAAAGTCTACTGCAGATAATCTCCAGTTAACTATGTTTCTCAGACAGAACTTAACTCATTCTAATTTGGCTTACAGGAAGGGGGTCAGACGAAAATATGTCATTTGTGATAAGACAAGGGACCTCAATGGTCCAGCTCTGGAGAACTGACACTAAATTAAGCAGCTTCTCTGTTACTCACCAATTCAAAAGGACCTGTTAGGTCTGCCTGGGTCCACAAAGCTCAACTCTCGGCTCTAGGTGCTCTAGTTCAATGACAGCTACTAACAAGGAAGAAAAGGCAAACTAAAGGGGTGACTGCAAATACTCTCAAGGCTCAACTGTGTCAACGCACAACATCAACGCACCAGGAAGATGCAATTCTCATTGAGCATTCCAGCTGTCCCTTAAATGAGCTCAAAGTCAAGAAAGAAAAAAAGTCAGAAGTGGCGAAGGCAGAGAGGGAAAGAGTGCAAAAGATGATAGAATATTGTACAAAAATACCAAACTAGATAAATCAAATAATACCAATGCTACTGGGAAGAGAGGCCAAGAGACCAGACATCAACAGAAAGAAGGAGCTAGCCCAGGACACTAGCAGCACAGAATGCACAGATGAAAACAAGGGTGGTGGAAGGAAGAGAACATGCCACTGAGAGAGCCCTGGCACCTTGCAAAGGAGCAGGAACATGACAGCACTCTGACCAGAGACGCTACAAGACCGGTCCATACAGGAGGGCTGCTAGGTTTGAGGTGTGGGGAATGAACTTAAAAATACCAGCTCCACAGATAAGCACAGATTTCATAAAATCATTAATATTTTTCCAAAGCAGAACAGTAGATATCTAAATAACTAAAATTGAGTTATAAAAAACACCACCAAAAAACCTCATATGGGGAAACATTTTAGAAGACCCTGGGTTTTATCACTCTTAGTTTTTCTATCCTAAGTTAAAACGTGTTCATGAAAAACAAAGAGAATATGTGAGGACACTTACCTCTGATTCTACTGTGTCTTGCCCTTCTTTTGAGCTTTTTCCACTTTTCCCTGCTTTTGGTGATTCCTAGGAAACAACAAGCAAAATCTATTAGTCGTCTCAATTTTTAGACTGCTAACCATCAGATACACACAATGTAGTTTTAAAATTGATTCATACAATTTAGAGCTTCTGACAGTATTAATCCCTACCATCAAAAACTTCTACATCACAGATTAGAGATACAATATTTCGATGCTACCCCCCAACCCCCAAATTCAGATTCTCTTCGTTTTCTTCATCTGTATTTGGGGTTGAAAACTTTAACCAGCAACAGACAAACCCAATATTACACAGTGCTCTTGGCACGCTGAAAGATCCACATCACAGCCCTTTCTTCCCTCCCACCCTAAGCCCTATAAGTGAGGATTTCTGGGGTGACAGCGAAACGCTACTGAACTCCATCTGAAGCAAAAACGTACCCCCCATGCAAACGCAGCACACTAGCACAGCCACCACCGCCGCCCCCCCAGGATAATGACAGTATTTCAGAGCCCCAGGGCGTCCCTGCGGAGCAGTCTGAAATCTTCATAAGCATTAAGCGGGGTCCATTCCCGCTCCGTTCCCCGTCCAGAGGTCCCTCCCTAGGCGTCTGCAGCCCCCTTTCCTGGAGTCTCTCCCCAGGGGACTGCGAAGCTCGGTCAGCCACCTCCGCGGCCGCACCTGCCCCCTCACGCCCACCGCCCGAACCCCCAGCCGGGCCGCGCCTCCCTCGACGCCCGGCCCGTCGGGCAGGTCCCAGCGGCCCGGCCTGGCCCCCGCGGCTCGGGTGCGATCCCGCTGCTCCCCGCCCCCACCGGCCTCACGGAGCAGAGGTGGCCGGG